ACACACACACACACACACACACACACACACACACAAACACACACAAACACACACACACACACAGAGGAGTCTGTGGAGAAATATGAATGAGATGGGAGGATTGTATCAATGTCAATATCCTGGTAGTGATATAACATTCTACAGTGCGGTGAAATTTTACCATTGAGGAAAATTGGATAAAATGTACACAGGATTTCTCTGTATTATTTCTTATATCTGCTTGTGAATCTAAATTTAACTCAATAAAATTTTTCATTTGAAAAATGGACAGGCCAAGAAACCATCAACAAAACAAAGAGGCAACCAAATGACAGAAAATAGTTGGAAACAATGCCTCTGATAAGGGGCTAATATCCAAAAATATATAAGGAACTCAAATACAACTCAGCAACAAAAAGACAAACAATCCAGTTAAAAAATGGGTGGAGGACACTGAACAGACACTTCTCCCAACAAGACATACTAATGGCCAGCAGATTATGAAAAAATGCTCAATTTCCCTAGCTATTAGGGGAATACAAATAAAAACCACAATGAGATATCACTTCACACCGGTTAGAATGGCTATCATCAACAAGACAAGTAATAACTAGTGTTGGAGAGGCTGTGGAGAAAAACGAACCCTCATACACTATTGGTGGGAATGCAGATTGGTGCAGCCGCTATGGAGGGCAGTGTGGGTGTTCCTCAAAAAATTAAGAATAGAATTACCATATACCCAGCAATCCTTCTCCTGGGTATCGACCACAAAAAATCTGAAAACATTTATCCGTAAAGATATATGTGCTCTGGTGTTCACTGCAGCTTTATTTATAGTGGCCAAGACATAAAAACAACAAAAGTGTCCTTTGATAGATGATTGGGTAAAGAAGATATAGCATATATACACGATGGAATACTATTCTGCCATAAGAAATCATGAAATCCTGCCATTTTGCAACAACATAGATGGATCTTGAAATTATTATGCTATGCAAAATAAATCAGACAGGAAAAGTCGAGAACCATATGACTTCACCCATATGTGAGCTATATTGGGTTGTCGAAAAAATCATGATGCATTTTTGCAATGAAAAACATAGAAAAAATATGTCATGACTTTTCCGACAACCCAATAAAACTGAAAGCAACAAAGGAAAAAGACAAAACAAATGGAGAAACAAAAACTCATACACACAGACAACAGTTAAGCGGTTAACAGAGAGTCAGAAAGCAAGGGGTGGTAGATGAGAGTAAAGGGGGTCAAATATATGGTGATGGAAGGAGAACTGACTCTGGGTGGTGAACACACAATGTGATATATAAATGATGTATTATAGAACTGCACAGTTGAAACCTATGTAATTTTACTATTGTCACCCCAACAAATTTAATTAAAAATAAATGAATGAATGAATTAACTGACAAGCCCAATTCCGAATAATAGAAAACATCACTGATGTTTAAAGAATTATGATATCTTAAAATTGATGGCAACTGTGACTGTAAAACATTGACAATAACTAAGCTAAACACAGTTTTAAATACATTAATCTATTTTAAATATTTATACCCTGTTGCCTTACAGCTTCGTCCACGATCGCCTCCCCCCACACCAACCACTGACCTAACGAGGTCACGAGGGTGTGTCTCAGAATGCTGAGACCCAGTGGAATGATGTCAGTTATCTTCCTTTCTGTTTTCATGGCCGCGGTACAGCTGCACCATCCTGGGGGTTGTGTGTGTGGAAGTATGAAAGCACAGCAGGTGTTGGAATACAATGGGGCTGGTTGATGGAAAATAGCCATAAGGCACTTATCACACAGACTTTAGAAAAAAAAGGTTCACTTCTTTGAAGTTTCTCAATAAAAGCTACGCATTGGCCGGATTCGGGCTCAGTCCCAGAGAGGCTGCAGCCCTTTGGCCCCGCTTCAACTCTATCCTTGACTCTTTTGTTTCTTTAACCCTGTGCCACCCCTCTAGCTCCTCATCACCCTTGCTGTGCGGGACTCAGCAATACCTCAGTAACCAAGGTCAATGGCACTGGCTGGAAACTTTTCTCATACGATTCTTCGTATAATACGATTTACTTTTATTTATAAACCACTTCTAGTTTTTCATCTCTAAACAGAATAATTTTGCTCTCTTTGCTAGCCCTTCATAAATCTAATTATTTAATCTATTTCTTAAAGATTCTCTCTTGTTCTTCAATTAATTTCTCTTGTCTAACTCTAAATATATTAGAAAGATTATTTTTTATTTGCACTTTTCTTTATATTTATATAGTTTAGTTTCAGTTCCCAAAAGTGTGGTAATAGTGTAGATAGATGTCTTGAACTTTGTAACCTGTTATATGCTGACATAACTCTAAGAGTGGGGAGGGTAATCACACAAATTTTGGGGAAAAATAACAAGGACCTTGATTGTTTGGGAAATATATTACCCAAAGCATACATTCATTTTATCTAAAAAATCAAGTCCTTATTTGAACTCATACAATTGGCTCTTAACAAGTTTTAAAGTTCCTTGAAAGCATGATGTAATTTGAGTGGATAGAAAGAACATCTTGAATAAAATATAAATGAGTATTAAAACTAATCATCTGTTCATTTGATAAAAATGTCAACTTACTACAGAATGGGTTTTTGTCAGCAGTATCCAAAAACGCAATGGTTTTAAGAGATTTTTCTGCTCTTTCTTTTAAAATATCTTTCCACTGCTCAGCCTGAATACCTGGGATTTGAGAAACAGAACATTAGAAATTGGATTTCCATCAAATAGCTTACAAAAATTTCGAATTACTAAAGGAACTAAAGCATCAATGTATAATTATTGTTATTATTATTATTTTATTAATGGATTTTTATAACATTATTTTTCAAATAATTTCCATTTCTTTTAATTACAATAATAACTCTTAAACTGAAGAGTCACAAACAAATCTACTCCCTCAACAGATATCTTATCAGAGCTTAGCATATTCTATATGGCTACCGTTCACCTGTAGAAATGTTTACATTTGTAATACAAATTCAGAATTTTACCTGTAACTCTTTTTAGCAAACTCAGCAGAATAAATTGATTAGATAAAACTTGAATACAAATTTAGCTCCATGACTACAGCCCCAATTCTTCTATATATACAGTCATATAGACATGATATGCATATGTATGCATTATACATACTATATATGGCATAGATAGCTTCTATACACACTATATATTACAGATTAATATATATAATTCAGAAGGTACATTAAACGTACATATAGAATATGTATTATACACACATATGTATATTGAAGATGCTTCCCATCTCCTGTATTTGTCTGTTCCCACATTGCCACCTCCAAATTTGAGATCTGAGTGTAGTGGAAAGCATGCTTAACAGACTTCAGAGGTTTAATGCTAGTTCTCATTTGTGCCCTTAAGCAATCCATATGTTCACACTAGGTCACAATTTTCTTATGTATATGGAAAAGTGATGGGACCAGAAAAGCAATCTCAACATGAGGTCTGAAAAAAACTAATTCCACAGGGCTGGCCGAGTGGCGCGATGGTTAAGAGCTGGCTTGGGACACCAGAGGGCCCCGGTTCGAATCCCACATATGAGGGCCAGTGACACTGCCCTCTACAGCTAAGATGCTGAACAACAGCTCAACCTGGAGCTGGGCTGCCGTGAATCACCGGCGACAGCGTAGGCTGCAGCCCCTGCTGCTGTGGGTTGCCATGGGCTACTGTGTGTAGCCAGCAGCCAGCGTGAGCGGCCAGCAGCCGCAGTGAGCAGCCGTCCAGAAGCCAGCGACTGATCTGCCTCACCCGGGAAGAGCGCAATGATGGTGCCAACTTGGGCCAGTGAAGCAATGTCCTCCACAACTAGAATGAAGAACAAAACGACAGCAACTTGTCTGTTCCCCTTCCCCCAATTCCCAGGCACTGTACCCATCCCCCCAATTCCCCAATAAAAATCTTAAAAAAACAAAAACAAAAAAAAACCTAATTCCACAAAATGTCTCGTGGACTGACAGGATCTATTGGAAAATAAGTCTGCTGAAGCCTGAGTATTTCCTGTCTCTTCTAGTGATTCTCTGTGTACATTAGCATAAGCCTATGCTTTAATTCATTCAGCCTTTATAATTGCTCCCCATTTCACTGAGCGCCTTTGGCTTTGGACACATTGCTGGCAAATCCTGTCAAGCTACGGATTAGATGTTTACATACTCATGACATGCTTGGGGTCTGATATTCTCTTTAGGAAACCCTTAACAAACAGCCTCTGAGATCCCTTCCAGCTCTAACATTCTGTTTTTATGTGGAATCTTTTTCTCTAAATTTCTCACTGGCTTTCGTTATCAGAAATTGTAATACTTAACTGCTCTTACCAAGCTTTATCAATTTAGAAGTTGTGAACGTATGAGTCATGTCCACTAGCTAATAGCCAAGGAAAAGCTAACTACGGTTCGCACCTCTTCACTTGCTCCTAACACTTTCAATTTAAAAACAAAACAAAACAAACAACAACAACAAAAAAACCATCAAGTGCCACTAAGGATACACAAGTCTCTTTCTTTAGTGCAAATATAGATGGATGGTAAATAGACAGTGAAATCCTTTTGAATATCAAGAACAAGGATCATCATAAAGCTACCAAATTTGCCCACTACACTGAACACAGAAAGGCAGTTAATCAAGTTTCTCTTACTAAATATCTTTAAAATATATAGTTGGAAATGAACTATGTTCTCTGGTTGTTCCACAGGTACTTTTTTAAAAAAATGCTGACATATTTACAAATAAATGAAAGTTTCCAACAAAAAATACTAAGACAATTGTGTTACTCATTTTCCACAAAGAATCATAGTATTATAATTATAACAATCTCTCTTACCTAGGCTTGGACATGATTTTTTCTTAAAGTTCTCACAATCCATACATAAACCAGTCTTGTAATCTTCATATGAACGACAAGGAAATGAAATAAAATTGCACTTTGTTTCCAAAGTTGCCATGAACAAGTAAACTGCTCTCTGGTGGTCACATTTAATAAATTTTATTCCTTAGGCATCAAAAATCAAGTAAAAGAATTGTAGGTAATATTAAACCAAGTTCAAGTAAATTAGAGAAAAATTAAATATTAAGTTCTACTCAATACTATATTTTATGAATATTAAAGTGTTGGCTATAATGCATAGTGTTATCTCAAGCAGCTAAACAAACTGTACCATTGAAAATTTAAATTTAGTATGCCTTTTACATGAGATTTATAAGAAATTTTTCTAAAGTAATAATTAACACAGTAAAAATGTTCAATTCCAATAATTTAACAAATTCTACAAACACAGTGCTACAATACTTAATAACTAGTGTATTCATCTCTCTCTTCTAACCCATCACACTTAACATTTCTATTCAGTGTCAGAGATGACTTATGAAACCGGGTAACATTCAAACTTTATCATGTCCCTTTCCTTGCCCAACTTCTTATATCCGTATCCCTTTGATCAAACTTCTCCAGCCACAGTGGCCTTCAGCAAAGTGTTACTTGACCAGCTGCCACTGTAGAACTCAGAACATTTCTCACTGAGGCTCTGAAGTGAGCCAAATTCCATACCTGGAGCAGTTGCTGAGCTATTTATATACAAAACAACCAAGTGTAAGAGTTTACAAATCTGTGTTTGTACAGTACTATGGTGACAGTACAGATTAAATCCTGAGACCGAACTTGTGTTATATGCTCCTCAGCTATATGTACTTCGTCAATGACGTACAACGTCTCCTAATGTTTACAATTATAAACTAAAACTGCTGAAACTATAAAGTAATAAGTCTCATCCATGACCAAATGGGGTGTCTACTGGTAACCTTTATGAACTGAAAAGGATCAAATTAAACCATTTTTCACTAATAACTCTCCAGAATTATGGGCATTGGTGATCAAAATCTTGCCCACAGGTTAAGAGGGAAAAATTAAGTTGTATAACTTTTATCATTTTTGAAGCATATGTAATTCATTCAAAAATACAATTGGTGTACCTGAAAATATTGATTTAGGACAGCCAGGTTGCTCTACTCCTCCATTTGGATAAAAATCTATATGTCCCAAGGGTTCTTCAATGCCTAAAGCTGAGAAGAAAATCACCCCAAAATCACAAAATGCATATATTCAGGTCAGCAACACTTGTATAAAACAAAATCTCCTATAAAATCCATTGAAAGTGACTCTTTTAAAAGTTGACTTGAAATAAATGCAATTTTTAAGAAGATTAATTTTCCTGCTACTAATTCCTCAAATTAATGCCCCACGAAAATTATGTTTCACTAATTTAACACATTTACCAAGTACTGGTATGCTATGGGCCAATCGAAATTCTATGTAGTATGAATATATAAGTGAAAAAAAAAAGTGGAGCAAAAATTCTTATCGTGGTGGAATTATATTCCACTGGAAGGAAGGCATAACAAGTAAAAATATAGTATGTCAGATAATAAATGTTACAGGAAAAATTAAATAGAATAAGAGAATAGTAAGTCACTAGTGAGGGTAATAGGTCAATACTAAGTAATTTAGTTAAAGAATTTCCCAATGAGGAGGTGAGAGTTGAACAAAGATGTGAATGAGGCAGTGAGTCAAGTAGGTACTGTGTGAGCATCCCTGGGTATCCAAGGAAGCCAGGTAAACTAGAGTATCATGTGGAAGAGGGAGCACTGGAGAAAATGAAGCCAAGTCACTTAGGACCTTTTGGGCAAGATTCTGGATAATAATGCCTAGAACTTGGTGCTAGACTCACAAATTGGAAAACAATCTAAACATGCTGCTTCACCTGGAACAAGCTGGGCCAGAGTGACACAAAATTTGTAACTATGATTTAAGGGCTTCTGTATATCTGTAGATCCTTGAGGCCCTGGGAAAGGTGCAAATTCTGGGTCCATTACCAATATGGGTGTCTAACCCGGGAGGAGGGGGGGCGCGGGCATAGGAATGAAAGAGGGTAGCAAGTTCAAAATATTCAGGACTGTGATTAGATATAAAATCTGGTTGCCAAGTAAGACTGCAATGCCTTGGTTTGAGGCACAAGAAATTTCCTACAACATAATGAATGAACTATTGAAAGAGATGAGTGATAGATTTAGCATAACAAAGATAAATACTTGGATCTGATAGTAAGGATTAAGGTGTAACAACTTTATTTAATTCTAGTATGTAACAGAACATGTTAACAGCTAGTTTGGTTCCCAGGGTATGAAAACGCTGGGCATGTGCATTATGAGGGTGGGGATTCAGCTAATAAGGAAACACAAAGGACAACTTAGATGACTTCATTAGAACCCCCCAGAATTCAGGAAAGGATGTATGTGATTTGATTGTGTCGTGGTAAGGGTATGGTAACCAATCCCTCTGACATTCAATCATTCACTTAGTTTGTGGAATTTAAACAAGGAAAAACAGTCTCCTAAACAGGACCCCAAAAAAGTCCAATATTTTTGGAAATCTTTAAAATTTCCTCATATCTGAACTCAACATGAAATTTCAAGACTAAGAGTTTCAGGTTTGGAGCCATCATTTTCTCCAATCTGCCACTGAATTAGAATCAAACCAAGAAGACTGCTTGGGAATCAGGGAGAAGCAAAAGACATTTATTATTAAATTACAAACAGCCTTTGATTCAGGCATGTCATTTTTATCAGATGGAGGGGACAGGGCAGCTTGGTCTGCTTAGCTCATTCATTCCCTTGGTTTCAGGAAGGGTGGGAAGAGCAGATATGGCTCTTTAATTTTCTTTTTATTGTAAGATATAACACATACCTGCAGAAAAGAACATAAAACATGATGCTAACAACTGATTATTTTTTACAAAGCAAATAGCCACTTAGCTATCACACTTCTGTCAAGAAATCACACCTTCGAAGCCCCTAGTGTGCCCTTATCCAATCACCAGCTTCTCTCTTTCCTTTAAAAAAAATAAAAAATAAAAAAACTTTTATTTTAATAAAATAATTTATTTTCCTGTTCTTTACTTTCTAAGGATATTTCCCAAAACATTATAGTTTAGATTTTCCCTTTTTGAAAATATATATAAACTGACTCATATTTCATGTATGTTTTTGTGTCTGGCCTCTTTAGATTAGTACATTTGTGATATTAATCTATGTTGTCACATGAATATTTGGTGTCAAAAATCTGTTCCTCAGTTGTGATAATCATAAAAAGATCAATCAAAGGCGCCAACTATGTGGCCTCTAGTAGCAACTTAGATCTGATAGGCTGAGTCATCAAAGATGTTGAGCGTACAGTTGACCACCATATCCATGGTTTCCACATCCACAGATTCAACCAACAGTGAATCAAAAATTAAAAAAAAAAAAAAAGTTACTCTGTTACCAACATGTACTATGTAGTAAGGCCTATGATGGTTGCATCTGTACAGACTTCATTTTCTTGTCATTATTCCCTAAACAATATAGTATCACAACTATTTACATAGCATTTGCATTGTATTATGTATTACAAACAATATAGAGATGATTTAAAGTATGCAGGAGGTGTGTGTAGGTTATATGCAAAATACTACACCCTTTAATATAAGGAACTTGAACATCCGTGAATTTTGGTATCTGTGGGGATCTTGGAACCAATGCCCTATGGATAGGATACTAAGAGACGTCTGTATAAGACAATCCAAAAGAGTTTATTAGGAAAAGTAAAAAATGCAAACAAAAATAGTAAGTATGAAGAGCTAATTCAAAAGGCCATCGGCAGAATTGAAGTTGGGATGTCAAAAAGAAGAGTTCAAAGAGCTGCAGAGTAACTGGGCAGTAGGTGTGCTGTGTGTGGGAAGGTTAAGTTGATATAAAGAAGATTTGAGTGTGGGGTTATCATACTAGAACTATAAAACTTTGAGCATTGACTCCCTGTAAGATGAAGGGCAACTTAGATTCCAAAGAAGGAGCAGAATTGTTCACATTATAGGCTCAGCCCATTTAGCATGTAGATATAGAAGTTGAAAAATTGTCATCTATGGCACTTATAGCATTTATGTTTCTCACAAAATCACTGGTGTGGATCATCACAAGATAAACTCAGAGGAATATGAGAACAAATAAATTACCTGGACCAAAGAAAAAAAAAGCTGAGGAAACAAAGACGTAGGGGCAGTCTGAGTGTCACTTCCTCCTGTCTCTATCTTAGCATCATATCTTCCCCATGCCCACAACCACAACACACATTAATCAGAGCAACATACTAGTGAAGTGCAGGCTCTGTAATCAAAAGATATGATTTCAAATTCTGGCTCTGCCACTTACTGGCCTTGTGATCCTGGTCCTAGCTTCCTTATCAGTATAAAATGATGATAATGATTATTTATTTCATGGGAACTTAGAAGAATACATAATTAATTTACATAAAGCATTTAAAACATTACCTGATGTATAGAAAGTAGTCAATAGATATTAGTATCATCAGTTTCAAATCAGAGGGGATCAGGGCCATCTAAATTGTTCCTTGAAAGTTTCCAACATCCAGCTAAAACTATCAATAATCTGTTAGAGATTTACAGGAAGATAATTAAGAACAATATGAAGTCATTTCCCTTTAGGGAAAGGTATTCTCTAACTGTGCTCAGTTCTAGCTGATCTATATCACTACGAGAAAAGGAGTGGCGAGAATGGTAACCTAAATACATCAAGAACATGAAGCATGGGGGAAATTGTGATCAAATCAACTGTCAATAGCATAAATAGGATGAAGTATTGTTTTTATCAAATTTCAATTTTATAGGATGACATGACAGTTCTTGAAACCTAAAGAAGGAAAGCTGCAGGCAAAGTGAATTTGACACCACAGAATTTCATGAACTCCAAAAAATATTACTTTGGGGAAATATAATCAGTATATAATTACAGATTTATTATCACTTTATCCACTACGCTTTTTCCTCTTATATTCTCCTTTTCCTTAGTATCGACATCTCATTTTTGATTTTCAAATAATTAAGCAATAAATCCTGCATTGTTACCATCGGTATCAGAATGAATGACATCCACAAACTTTGCATCAGTGTAATCTAATCTGGCATTTGACGGTTTTCCAGAGAAGTTTGGTCCAGCAGGGTCAAGACCTGAAATTCAAGAAAGAAACTATCAATCTATTAATCAAGTCCTACTATAGTGATCATTAGATCATATGCTTGTATTATTATATTACATCATAAACATAATAAGCCTGTACAGTTTTAGCTTAAGCTTGTATAAACACAAATCTAAAGATAAATAAAATTGTATGTGTAGCAAGTACCTTCATTACATGAATAATACTTTTTACTAGTCTTCAGAGTTTATCAGCAATCTAGTGTTAAGCCACATTAGAGACACCTCAATAAAATATTGTAGGGTTTTTTTTAGCATTTTTATCTAAGTAATTAGAAACAAACTGGTAGAACTTTGATAATAAATAACTACTACTACTTCTGAGGGAGAAATAAATCAATACCATCCTGGTCCTATCTTGAACCCTGTTCCTTACTAATTCATCCTGGACCTATCTATAGGTCAAATGCAATTTGGGCTGTGGAACAAAACGTATTTATTACTGCTTTACATTTAAATAAACATTTATTTATCACTCATGTCTCATAAAAGTTTACCACACACACATAAGAAAAAATATACTCAAAAAGTTCCATGGAATATGGATATATTTCTGGTGTATTTGAAATTCTAAATAAAAATTCTAAGCACTTGACCTACTGGAGAGTAACAAATAAAGGAGGGTGGAGATAAAATTCAGCTCCTTAAGAACATCTATGCAACGGAAGAAACTACCATCTTAAAAAGATATTTGAAAAAGTAAAATATAATGTTGCTTATCTCAGGCCCTTTTATTTCCCTAGTTTATTAAGCCTCATTACAGAATGCGGGAGAACTTTCTCTCTTCCTATAAATTATTCTGATATATAATAGAGCCACCACATTTTCCAGCCTTGAAAGCCTTCATGATTCCTTGGCATGTGGAGCCATTCAAACTAGACTAATACTCATATGTGACGAAACAGACCTTAAAGTAGGATCACCACCAGTTTAAACAGAACTAGTATGGTGGTTGAAAGAGAATGGGCTTTTGATGTTAGTGACCTTTGTGTAAATTCTGGTTTAGCTGTCGCTAACTTTTTGAACCTCCCACATCGATTCAGTTACCCTCAGTTTTCACATCTGTATAATGGGAAAAATATTAAACATGCTCAGAGTAAGTAATGTATGTAAGTAAAGTAAGTAAAGTAAGTAGAGTAAGTAAAGTAAAAAGGTCTGAAAAGATCCTAACTATCTGTACAAGTTTTTCATCTCTTCCCTCCCACTTTGCTTAACTAAAAACTCTATTACCTTTTATTTACACTTGAAATAAGTTTTTTATGGACATAGACCTCCATAAATTTTAAAGAGTTAAATTGTTTGGGAGGAATACTATCCTTCCAGTTCTAAAATCACCACCATTCCTGAAGGGAAGCATGAAAATTCATTACTTAGATTTTCAGCATTATTTGGTTACCAAGCTTACTAGATGTGGTAACATTGTTAAGAAGGAATGAGGGGAATTGGGATCCAGAATCACTTAAGCTTGGATACCAACTCCTGATTCTCTCTTTTGGCATTCAAGTAAAATCTTCAAAAGAATTGAAATACATCAAAGTTTGTGAAAACTAAATACAATATATGTTTATATTTTTACTTACTACATGAAAAAAAGTTTTATAGTTAATGGGCCAAATTTTTCTCTGGATTGTTACAAAAATGTTTCCTCAACAGGGGCTGAAGAAATTGATCTGTTTCTTTTCAATTCCATAAGGGTAACTTAAGCTCAGTTAAGAACTAAACAAGACTTTAAAGTCTAACTAAAACAAAGACTAGCATTTGAGTATAACATACAAAAAATTAAATGTGTATCATTTCTAGTAATTATTGTACCAATCAAATTTTAAATAAAGTTATGATACTTAAAAGTATGCTAACACATTAATTTTATCAAAAATATTCTACCTGTTATTCTTCCAAGTTGACCGTGAAATTTCTTTCCAACAAATCCACTAATATGAGCCCCTAAGCTCATGCCTATGAAATGAAAATTATCAAGAGAAGCTCCATGCTTCTGCAATTAAAAATATAGTGTTACGATTTCATTTCAGGAAAATCACAAATCAGGCCTTGCACATCAATATTCTAAAATTTGGGGGTTTTTTTCTAGTTTAATCCATTTCTGAGAGATAGGAATGGGATTTTATCATTCAAAAAACTATATCTTTGCTCAACTTTTTCCACAAGAGATCTGATTTTTCTCTATTTTTTAAATGCCATTACATTTTTATTAAAAAATTTAAAAATCTTTGTCATCTATTATCCAGAAGAGCACATGCAAAATAATACATGTAATTAGTAAAACATTTTATAATAATTAAATACCATTGGATACTTACTTTGCACTAACTGCCTTGATAAGTGCTTTATAAATCTCATACTTAATATTTACAATATTCTTGTGAGTTACTGCCTAAAACTGTTCCTAGAACCTATTAAATGCTGAATAAATATGGTTTAATAATGAGTTGCCCAAAGCCACATATACTTATTACTATAAGGGAAAAAGATAGACTTCAAGTCCAGGTCTGTTTAACTCCAAAATATATACTAATCTGCCTACCTGTTTTAGCTGATCGGATTGGAAAAATTCTTGGAAGACTGAACAATGTAAATAATCATCCTCACTTCAGAGATGATACAATGAGACTCAGATTTTAAGTGATTTCCCTGGATCACAAGCTGGGGAGTGATGGAGTCAGGTTTTTCAAGCCCAAGTTTTTAACAATTCTCAAAGTCTCACTTTCCCAATCCCTGTGGTGTCGGGGACATTAGAAGCTTAAGTGAGGGAGAATTTCTTCCTCCACACTCTCAGGAAACAAGTCATGCTCTCAGGAAACAAGTCATGCTCCAGTCTACACAGTGACTCATCTGATAGCTTGGAGAAAGATGTGGAGCATTAACTGCTCATGAGAAACTAGACTCAGGCTTTCCAAGCACAGGATAATAATGTTCTTCAAATTTTTCAAAGTGATGCCCAGAAACCTGAGGGAGTATTACTTTCAGTGTTAGCACAACTGATCTTTTTATCCCTTTGTAATACGAATCCTTTGCAAGCAAAGGCACTCAGAAATTTAACTAACACTATAAATTTTCCTATTTAACATTCACATTTCCCACACTTTAAGGTACATATTAATTGAGAAAAAAAGCCACTGCTATAAGGAAAAATCAATTATGCAATTTACAAGCTATCAGTAAGAACAAAATCTTGTTCAAAATCACACAGATGATAAGAGATGGATTTGGTCTTTGAAACCTTCCAGTCTGACTACTAGTCATTACATGTAACTACTTCTTGGATGTGTTATGCTTGCTCAGTTTCAGCAGGTGCTTGGGAGTTCAGCACAACACAACTCAAAGGCAGATTTCAAGCTCAGAAATACCCCCAAATCAGACATCACCCTTCTTTCTCTCAAGTGTCTATCACCACCACCTCTCTTTGGAACAAGCATGGATCGCCCTATGGGTTACTTAGTAAACAAAGATGACCTAGAACTGTCCTGAATTTATTTGACCCATCCCAATCCTGGACCTAAATCCTGGGCAAATCTGTATGAAACTGAGACCTACCTCCAAGGTTCCCAGTAGTATGCTACTTTTCAAGCTGTTTTTCTCTCCCTTTTACTATTGTACACTATAAACACATTAGCTATACCTTATAAAAGGTATCTGAAGAACCTAATGATTATATAGTTTATTCCCTCTGTCCACACAGAATCACTGACTGCCTTTTCCTTAAATCTGTATAGGTAAAGTTTGAAAAATTAAAATGTTAAAAGATTTTTAAGATAAAACACAATAACATCATCTTTAAGATAATTTTTAAAAATCAGACAGGTCATGTCTAGGTGTAGAATTACCCTTCTATACAAACAAAGATGACTGCATACTTTAGCATATCAAAGCAGTAATTCTGAATGCTATGGGAAAAAAGCACTAAAAACACATTCTTTTATTACCACTTCGTGGTATTGCATAACACACTGTATATTGCATAACATATATATGTACATAAAATTCCAGACTTACCAAAAGCCTCTGAATGCACTCACTCAAAGCCGCACTAACTTTTCTGGCATTTTTAACTGCTCTATTATAAATAAAAGTTGTAGCACCCCGGTTCCAGTCAACTACAATTACATTTATATCATCTTGAATCAACAAAATCCTTCGAAAGTTCTGAAGCCAAGCTGGAATGGAGCCCGTCGGTCTGTATCCGTGAATAAGCCACACTGTTTTCTTGTTCATGTCAAAATTAATGCTAAGTGAGTTATTCTGCCCAAACAGTGGCTCACCACAGCTTAGGTTGTTCCTTGTATACATTATCAGAAACATCGCAATTTGGGGCTTAAATAAATCTCTGAAGGAATCCGTTACACTTAGCTTTGAGAATTTAAGGCATGGTCTTTTATTCTCTGAAATAAAAAAACAATTCAATCACGGTGAGTACTGGGATAGTATTTGATTTGATTCCTGTTGCTGATGCAAAGAACAGAATTCAACTCAGAGGGTGGCGAGGATTTCATTTCATTAGCTCTTCAACATAATTTACAGATCAACTATGATATTTAAGTAATTTGTTGATTATGTAGAAAGACTTTTTGAACTAGAAGTACTAAAAGTTTAAAATAGAATATAGAAATAAATGTGGTTAATTAAAAAAATAACAATTATTTTCACCTGTACAAAATAGCAATTGTGTTAGTAAAATTATTAATATTATTTATAAAAAAAGTATTATGCACAGTAATAAAAGTAGATAATTTGATGATGAACTTTAACAGACTTTCTTTAGAAGAATACTTATATATGGATAATAAACATTAGAAAAATATATATTTTACCTGACTAGTGATCAAATAAATACAAATCAAAACAATAAGGTATCATTGTCTTCCTATCAAATTAAACAAAATAGGAAAATCCTTTTAATACTCAATAATTGTGGGATAAATGTAACAAATATTCATATACATGGATGCTGAAAGCATAAGTTGATGCTACACCCTTTTGACATTTTATATGTGTGTGTATACCATACACGCTTATGCATAATGTTGAAAATATTTATTCTTCCTGATTTTCTTTCTAGGATTTATATTAATGAAATAAACAATTGTATTAAATGTGAAGGCATTAATCACAGGATTATGCATAATCACAAAAAAATATAAAACCTTACATATCATCTTATAAATATTCTCATCCATGTGTGCATCCAATCTATCTATCTATCTATCTATCTATCTATCTATCTATCTATCTATCTTCCTACCTGTCTATCTATCCATTCATCCATCCATTCACCCATCCATCCATCCATCCATCCATCTATCCTAGAAGGAAGTAGAGCAGAAAATAAATAACTAAGCCAAATCAATAGCAGTAGCCATTGCTAGGCAGTGAAACAATGGCTGCTTTGTATTTTCTTTTTCATAGCTTTTCAGAATTGTAATTTTTTTTCAAAATAAGTATATAATAACATTTTTTAAATGAGAGTATATATTCTTGCTGCTTCTGAAAGTTTAACTTGGTGAAAAGATTTGGGAAATCAATTTCTTGATATATATAAAAAGTTCACAGAAGCTGTATTATAATTTATGCCAGTAATTCCACTTCTAAGAGCTTATCCCAAGAAAATAGTGCCAAAATACATTAAAAATTAACTAATATAAGTTACTTTAATACTACAGAAATAGAAGTGACATAACTGCCCAAAAATAATGATTTAGGTAAACTACATATATACATATCTGATAAATAGAAATACATATTTTAATATATAAATATGTAATACATATTTGATAAACCATAATAACATGCATTAATATTCATTAACTGCAATCATTCTGTTTGGAGAGTGTATGTGTGATATTATCACAATTATTTAGAAGAAGATATAGGAGGGAGGCAATAAAGAAGAAGCAAGACCTACGTTCAATTCCCAAGTTAACAACAGAGGTACTTGGACAAATGAAAAACTTTGATACTTCATTTGTTCTAAGTACTAGGGAATGAGGAAGTAAAGAGAAAGAATAAATCAAACCACAGTGCAATATCAGTGATTACTACACTGTACAAATTGTGTAAGGAATTGTGTACATCCACCTTCCCATAATCTGGAACTATGAGAATGCAATGCAATCAATGCATCCAAACTGCTGGTTCATTCCAAGCCAAGGTAGATTTTACTTGGCCTTAGAGTGATTAATGAGGAATAAACCAGTAAGATCCCAGTTAGAAGACAAGGGAAAGAACTCACCCAAAACAATCAAGAGAGAAATCTATTCTCTATTACCAGATGTAGAAGTAATTGCAGAAAACTAGAGCACTCTCATTAGGATGCAAGAAAAATCATTCCTCAAAAGAAGGAACAGGAGGCCATTAAGAGAAAATTTATTGAGGTAGAAAATAATAGGATAAGATGAAACATGAAATGAGATACTCCAATTCAGGAAAAGTACAAACATAATTGCAAAATAAAAATTACATTATAGATGCTAAAACACACGTGGAAAGTTCACTTTAAAGTAAGAATGGAAGACGAAAGAGATTAAAATTATAAAAGGAAATATAGATATGGGATAGGCAATGATGATTCAAATTAAAAATCGTCAGTGTTCCCTTGGGCACGGGGGTGAAATTTGGGGAGGGACAGAGTTGGGTTAGAAAACTTAAGGAAATAATTGCATACCAGGGTGTGTAAACTGAAAAGGTTCATCATAATCTAGGGAAAATCAGTTAATCACACTCACCAAGAGTCTTCCTAGAAACTGGTTTGGATTTCAGTGAAAGCAAAAGGTATCCTAAAAACATCAAGGTAGAAAATCCAGGTTACATATAGAGGAATGAAGTTATGACGACTTCACATTTGTCTCCTAAAATAATACAGCAGATATATAAAAATGTAATGAATAAAGATTATAAATAGGAAAGTTTGTGGTCTAATAATTTTGTAGTCTTCCTAAAGTACACCACTCATAAATTATATAGTACAGTTTCTGATGTAAGCACTGTTAAGTAAATGCTAGATTTATTGAAAACAAAGTCCATAGAAACTCATAATATAAAAAGATTGAAAGTGAGCAGGGAAATAAGTCAGACACAGATATAAGTATAAAATGAGTAAAATATATACATGCAATATGAAAAGATTCTCTTTCAGATGTTCGGTAAGAATATTTAAATATTAGTATAAGTCAGTGTACTAATAAGATGGCAATGTAGGTTAAAAGAAGTGTAAAGGAAGTAAATGTGGTATAAAAATTCCTTAATTAGGGGATTTAAAAGTCAAATTTTTAACTTTAATGAATAAATAACTATGGGTTTCAAAAGATATTGAAACCTTAAATGGTAAGCAGTACACTATATAAAACAGTGCACAGGGCCGGCCGCGTGGCGCGATGGTTAAGAACTCACTTGGGATGCCAGAGGGCCGCGGTTCGGATCCCACATATGAGGGCCAGTGACACTGCCCTCTACAGCTAAGATGCTGAACAACAGCTCAACCTGGAGCTGGGCTGCCGTGACGGCGAGGCTGCAGTCCCTGTGGCAGTGGGTTGCCATGGGCTACCGTGTGTAGCCAGCAGCCAGCGTGAGCGGCCAGCAGCCAGCGTGAGCGGCCAGCAGCCGCAGTGAGCGGCCGTCCAGAAGCCGGCGACTGATCTGCCTCGCCCGGGAAGGCGCAATGATGGTGCCAACTTCGGACAGTGAAGCAACGTCCTCCACAACTAGACTGAAGAACAAAACGACAGCAACTTGTCTGTTCCCCTTCCCCCAATTCCCCAGCACTGTTCCCATCCCCCCAATTACCCAATAAAAATCTTAAAAAAAAAAAAGTTAAAAAAAAAAAACAGTGCACATAACTTTGTACACACTAAAAAATATAAAAGCATAGAAAATGGTGTATATATACCAAAGAAAAAAATAAAATAGTAAAGGAAATACAGAAAGTAAAAAACAAAAGAAAATGATAAAACTATACTAGAGAAAAAAATCTATAATATATAAATAGCTATATAACTTCATAAACCCTGCTTATTCAAAAGCATGGAATCTCAGCCTTCAGAGTAAAGAAAAATGAAACTTAGGTATAAGATATTTGAAAGAAGCACACAGGAAATTTTAAATAGAGGGGTGAGCATATTCTATTCAAAATAAAATGAAAGAAAGTAGGTTCATGTACTGGATTTAAAATGATGACTTCAAGTCATCAGACTTTCCTGAATCCATTCCATTTGCCTTGTTATTCTCCCATCGTAAGTAGGAAGATTTGCCCCACTTCTTGCTGTGGGTGTAAGTAATGTGGCTTGCTCTGGAAAATAGGACCTTGGTAGGTAATAGTGAAAGAGGTTTGAAATGGGCTTGCATGTTAAGGCTTGGCCTCCCTCACCTCTGCTATCTCCATGGTTTGGCCTGCTAGAAGAGAGTCAGGTGTAAAACAGCTAAGTTCCCCAGTTGTGTTGGTCTCCCCAGCTGACAGCCAGTTAACAACCAAACATGTGAGTGAACCAAAGCAAAACGAGCAGTGCCACCTAACTCCTTACTACCTGACTCCACAAGTGCGAGTAGTAACTACTTTATGTCAAATACCACTGAGGGTCTGGGTTTTTATTTTGTTTTGCTTTGCTTAGCTTTATTGTGAAGTGGAAAATAGGGAGTTACTGCTTAATAGGTACAGATTTTCAGTTCAGGAAGATGAAAAAGATCTAGACGTAGATGGTGTTGATAGTGTATATATTCACAGCAATGTGAATATACTTAATGACACTGAACTGTAAACTTAAAAATGGTTAAAATAGTAACTTTATGTGTTTTACCACAATTCAAAGAAAAATGTACAGAATCCAATTCCTGTCATGATGAATATCTGATTCCAGACTTACCTTATTTCCGTAAACAACTAGAACACTGGATAAAACATATGCAAGAAAAATAAGTTTAGACATTGGACAAGAAGCATAGGACAGTGATCCCTGAAAGAAGGGAAACAAATCATTTGAACCCTATAACTAATACTTTCTGCCTACAGGTAGTTTCCACACGGCAATGCAGGAAGACTGAACCGAAGGACAGCATGGTGGTCTTACTGAGTTGGGGAAAAAGACCTGGAGGTTGGGGAGGCTGAAGCAATTAGAATTTGTTTTGCAGGGTGCCACAAAGGAAGGAGCCATGTAGGGGCAGAACTCTGAAATCTGCAGGGAGCTCCCCTGAGTGGGTTGCAAAGAGCGGTAAGCTGAACAATTCCAAAGGTCACAATGGTCTCGGACACAATGAAGTTCAAACTAGCCAGAGTGGGATGAGTTTAATGAATATCATGGCTATTCATCAGAGACCCTAGAAGGCTCAGACAGTTTTAAGGGATCTAAACTAGCTCTAGGATAAGAGATCATCCTTTCTCCCTCTCATTCTCTCA